TCATTGAACCAGCAATAAAAGGGATCCATAAGTCGCCTATGTGGACAATAAATGTAGCCCATTTCTTTTTCTTTTCAACATTCAATTGAACAAGCAATATTGGAACAAAATAATCAATAAAATAATTACAAAAAGATTAGAAATTATACAAAACATGTCTTAACATTTCAACATGTGTCAGAACTGTATATTGCAGACCTACAATGAGATCGTGACAAGGCGACCCAAAAAAAATCTCTTGCGACCCACCTGAGGGTCACGACCCAGTCTTTGGGAAACAATGGACTAGCCTATATGTTTTATTAGTCTATACAGTTTGATTTCTTAGATATATTTTAGAATCTCAAAGCTTATTAAAAAGAATACTTTTTATTTTAGGAGAACTTTAGAGTTAAATGTAGGGTATATTAATTTAGCCATGAGTTTCAAACAGCCTGCTTACCAACAGTTACTGACTGTTGGTAAGCAGATTGTCTCCTTGTTAAGGTTGTTATAGTTACCAACACAACCTTCGACCTTTGACATTTGGTATTGTCCGTTGTAACCTTTAATAATGGCTTCATATTTCAGCATCTAATGGGTTTTATATTGCATAGGCCCATATAGTTTAATGGAGATGAGAAGACAAAATGTTTATTGTTTACAGTATGCTGTGAACTACTCGACTACTAGATTTATAATATTGTAATCATGAACTGATGAATAAAACTAAAACTAATAAAAGCTTATGTGACTTTTATGCAATTCTGAATTTCAGTATTTCTCGTAAAATTGTCAACACTGATAATGATACATCCAATCCGGTCAGAGAATTATTCCAATTTCAGTCTATTGTTTTCTAAATTGCTAACAAGGCTAAAATTACCTTCTTATTTTATCAACATGTGGCCCTTATCTTCCACTCAATGTAATTATGTCATGCCTGTTGATGTATTGCAGTTAATTATGACATTGTGTTCGGACATGTCGTGGGTCTGGTTTTTTCGGTAGTATTAAATTTCCTTGTTTGTCCTCATCATTGTGCACACTGTTAGATGTTTGCTTTAGATAACTCCAGTGCTGTGTGTGTGCTCAGGCTTAATATCCGTTTGTAATTAGCATCACTTCACCTTTTTACTGTTCTGCCTTTTGTTCCCATGTCCCATTGACCAGTGTTTTTCTTCCATTACACTCAAAGGCTCTGAGGGTCCACTGACGTATACAGGCATCATGACGCGTTTGGAAAAGTAGTGGAAATTTTGTTACGAATGAGTTGTTTTGAGGAACTGTGCAAAAAGGTGTAATAATAAACAGGGTGGTGTGCTCAGTCAAAAAAAAATGTCAACTATGGCAAGGCTCTGTGTTAATGTGCGGTACCTCCAATTGCAAAAGGTATCGACGTTCCCCGTTAACACCGTGGGCCGTCCTCAACTCAAGTTATCACCATGAACTCATAAAACAGCAGCATGTAGAACTTCATATGCAACTCACTGCACATCAGCCTGGAGCAGAAGCACTGAGTTTGGTAAAAGCAGCAGCCAACAGCAGCTCCTCAGGACGGAATTGGGGGTCTAGTCCTTGGTCTTGTGCCGTTCCTCCGAGTGCTTTGGTCAGACAGGTCCGGAAGCTCTGTCCTCCATGTGTTGGTTCCAGATGGGGGCAAGTAAGACCAGTGCACGATGGACTGGGTCTGAGCGGTTCTGTGCCATCCTGTGTGCGCTGTTCCGTGCGAGGAAAGCGAGAATGTGCTGTAGACTGCAGGTTCGGGTGGGCTGCTCCTGTCCTCCGTGCTCGAGGACTATGGCTGGTTCCAAGGTGGTGCAAAGCAGTCAGACAGAAGCGTGAATTCAGTTTGTTTTGTTATATGTTGTTCTGAGCGGTCTGTCCTACGCACATGTGTTTCTTCCCGGGGAAAGCGCTTCTCATGCTGAGGCACCTAACACCACTCCCCGCTCCAGCTCATCTGAGCTCGGCCTGAACCAGAGCTGCTTCCGCTGGTTCAGGACTCTGGGATTGGATCTAGTCCGATTGTAGCATTTTTCACACTAGACTAAATGCAGTTCATTTTATTAGTTGAATCAATTGAATAGGGCCTATTCAGTTTAAAATCTAAACTTTACATTACTGTATTAATGCACCAAGGAACATACAAACTAATTGTACCTCTACTTAGCCGATCAAATCTGTGTAATCATAGCTCTGAATACAGACACAGACAGAGGAAAAGAAGTTTTGAGATATTGTTTTTTTTTTTTTTTTTTTTTTTTCTGAAATTAAGCAATTTAGCCATTTTATTTATTTTCTATAATTAATTTTTAATTGCAGCCTAGGTGTGTTTCAGTATTAACAATACATTATGTTGAAATGTCTAACCGGACCTCCTCAAATTTTAGTTGAATACCCCTGCTATACAGTGTTATTATGTAATGGGCCCCGGGCCACTGTGCACTGGAAAAATTGGGCCTCAGCGTCAAAAAGACCTGGTCTATACTGCCTTATAAACTTAAAAGCTATGACTGTAAACAGCAGATATAAGTAATACAAAGGTGCAGGTTTCCGTAATGGGTGTGCGTGCGTGATGGTCATACTCCACAGAACGCATTGAAACAGGTGAAATAAAGGATACCTGTAAAAACGTGAATGGAAACACTGCTTACGTCTGCTGCTAAAATTAAACCTGACGATACAGAACTAGATCTAAGGAAGGGGAGAGACAAAGAGACAAGAGGGAGAGAGCAAGCCAATAAACTACAGTCTGCAGCCAATCAGCTAATGGCTCAGGCCCGGTCTTTTCCTGGTCCACGGTCTCTGGTCTGACGTGGGTCCAGGTCTGTGCCAAAAACCCTGACGCAGCAAAACGCACGCACGCAGACACCCATCCACTCCGCAAATGTAATTAAATCATTTTTAGTGGGAACACTGCAGCCCCTATTCAACTCCATTAGGCCAGTATTAAAAGGCACACTCACGTACAGAGGGCAGAGTAAGTGAGTGATGGACGCCTGGGGAGGGAAGCCATTCACAGATATTATGTATTGAGTAAGTGTGGGGTGTAAATCAACTGCTGTTTGTTGGTTAGCATTAGCATCTCTCGATAGTTTGGTCCAGAAGATAGAGTGGTACTTTATTCATTCAGCAAAATCTGAATACTGTAAATACTGGATCTGTATTTTTTTTTATTACAGTTGGAGGTAGCTCAAAATGTGCACAGTATACTCATCAAAAATTAAATTAAGTGTCTTGCCCAAGGAACCAATGACAATATTCATCAGTGGGAGCTGGACTTGCACTGCCAACCTATGCGCCAGGGGGAAATGAATAGGAAATTTACTTCTGGAACCTTGGTTGTCAGCTGGTTTAGAGTGGTGGCAAGAGTTTAACATTGTCCAAGTTGTAATAGCTAGATTTTAGTTGTACACAGCATTTTCACAAAGGGTTTATCTAATAAAACTTGGCTGTATATTTTTTAATCTAAATGAAGACATAAAGGTCTGAAGTCATCATTTCTACTGCTGCTGGAGCCGCCCAACTGCTTAGTCACGCACAAGTTTAGCTTCATTAGCAAAGAGCAGAGCACTCCACAGATTAAAGGCCATTCATCAACAAGGAACTGAGCCAGGTTCACTCACAAACCACTTGGGGTTCAAAACACAAGCTCAACTTGCCCAGAGCGATGTTTTGGTGTGCGTTTTTATCCAAGATGCATTTTGAAAAGCAAATGCCATCTGCAGTTTTTGTCCGATCCTGGAATCCCCTTTGCAGTCATCATGTGAAAATCCATGAGGCCCATTAAACTTATTTTTTCCCCCACTGAAGCACTATCATTCGGGTCTATTTAGGGTTGAGCAATATTTCCTCATATTATACATTTTCTATTTGATTTCTTCTTTTCAAAAACGAAATAAAAATTACTTTCAATATTAGCAAATTACTATTAATCAGTGTCATTAAACACATAAATACTTTGTAATAAATGTATTCTTCCAAAGTCCAAACCCCATTCTAAACCACATTTTTTACTGACAGAGGATTGGCTGTGGACCTCTCAATTACAAGAGCCAAGCATATCACTGATGATTAGACATGACTGAATCACACTTTTGATTAAAATGTGATTTATTTTCTAGCCTATATCTGTAATCCGCTCTAGTCATTTTGCTGTATTCACTTCTCTAAGAACGTCATGTGTATAGAAACCATTCGGTCCAGTCTTTTTCAGCCCATCCATCTCCAGAGCCCACAGTGTAACATGGCTCTGTGTAATGAAGTTTGGTGTGATAGAGAATGGGTGGTTTAAATGAATACTTTAGTGTCAGTGTGCAGTGTTCAGTGCATTAAGAGCTAAGAGTAATAATCCTGCAGTTAAAAGCCACATGACATCCCTCGGCTCATGCTACTGATTAAAGAGTCTGATTTACTGTTGTTAGGAAATCTAAACCGGATCGAACCCACTGTGTGACGGGAAGTTATACCTCTCAGTGTTAGGAGTTAATCAGTGCTACGGTAACAGATTCAGCCTTTGATTCACTAAGATCAAACTCAAAGAACTAAAAAGGCTTTTTGTTCAAATGACAAATGTCTTGCGTGCTTTTTTCAGAATAGCTCCAAATGTGGTGGCAAAGGCAAAATAATATCTTTTATTGCCTCCCACTCTGAGATTTACTCTGAGAACTGTCCTCTAGTGTGGTGTGCAGCAGTCAGGTGAGAGGATTCAGATTGAGATACCCTGATCATTTGAGATGAAAGAAAGGGAAAAAAGGAAGAATATTAGAGTATCATGCAGTACTTTTAGCCTAAGAACTGTAGCACATGGAGGTGCAATTGGTTCTCCAGTTTTCCAAAAACGAGAATATGGGTTTCACTCCTGGACTGGCTCAGTTTCATCTTGAAGTCTGTTACAGAGGGTCGTCTTTGGTCACTCCACATTTAAATAATCACAGAACACAATGCTAAACACAGTCAAACAAGTTGTGTTGACAAAAATTCAGTTAGTTTTAATGTTTGTGCACCTCTGTTTTCAGATTCTGGGATTTCAGCCTTCCCCAGCCTCTCCTGGAGACTGTGGAGCATCACTCAGAGTTTGTGTGTGGACTGGACTTTAACCTGCACATCCCCAATCAGGTACAGGGAGTCTCCTGAGAGAATCACCTTACTCTCAACACATCACAATACAAACATACAAATTACTTTTGTCAATTATATTTGGAGCAAGTAGAGAGGGCATTTAGTAAGTCCAGATGGTTTAGCTTAACTTGTTGATGATATCTTATTCCTGGATGTCTCAAAATGTACATCAGTTGATAGTCTTTAGCTTCACTTCTCTTTCTGCTTCTTTGAACCAGAAGTACCCTTTTTTAATTGTATTTTGCATATACCATGTAAAATACCAGGCCACAAATGAGAACCTGCATTAGCTCTCCTCAGGCCCTCGCTCTTCTCAGGAGGAGGTGATTCTTGTATAGGGCTTGTGGAGAAGTCCAGTTTCTGGTTGAGGTGAACGCCTAGTAGTAAAAACTGTCATTTTGTTATGTGTGACTGTGACAAACAAATTAGTTTCACTTAAAATACCACAGAGTAGTTTCACTTCAAATACCTTTTTCTTTATCACAACCTAGAGTAATTTATGCTTGATTAAAATAATTATAGTAAATATGAAAAAAATTTTTATTAAACACGATCCTTATCCTTATTGTCACATCTCCTGAACTTATCTATATGAAAGTAGTTTATTTTTTCTCTTGAATTCACCATTTACTGTGCAATGTGGCATAACTTTTCACACAGTTGTCAGACTTGAGGTACACTTTCAGATTTAACAGCTCCATGTGAATTTACACATAGCACAGAAAAGAGTAAAAGAAAAACTTGAACTCCACATAATATTTCATTTCCAATCTCCATTTTGAGTATAGTATAGTTTATAGTTTTACATAAAGAAAATATTTTGGTCCTTCTTGAGTTATGAAGCTGTTTCTGTTTTTATATCTCTGCACTGGGTTCACATCAGATGTAGTTTTTACCAGATCTGTTGAAATGAGGCCATCCATCAGTTTGCTGGGGTTATCTCTCACACATCACTGCTCTGTCACACTGCGCTGCGTTCAAGCACATCGGGTTAAAAAGGCGCTGGCTGAAAAGGCCACTCGTGTCGCATTCACTTCCCTCTCAAGACTGTGGACAGATCTGTGCAGTCCCTCTGCTTTTCAGGAAGAGGTCAGAGCTCAGTCACTGGACAAAAGTGTGGGAAAGTGTCTGGCTAAACAAACAGTAGTAGTGCTGAATTGTGGTGCCAATGGGAAGTTGTCAGAATTCACAGTGTATCACAGCTGCATATAGGGCTGGGTGTTAGGCTAGTAGTTTTTCTTACACAAAAAAAAAAAAAAGAGAGTTGAGCCAAACATAATACTGTAATGATACATGTTTTGCCTGGTATAAGCAGACTTATACACTATTAGTTTGCAATACCTGCCTGTCGCAATAAGCCACAGACCTTGAATGGACAAGAGGATTATTCAGGTCATAATATAATAAGTTTTTTAAAGGTCCTATATTATGCACAGTTGACTGAAGTGAGCTTTAATCCATGTTAGAATCAAAAACATACCTGGAGTTGTATTTTCTTTTCTTTATTATTAGTCTGTCGCTATCTCCAAAATATCTCTCAAAATGCTCTGTTCCACCTGTTTTCTGTTTGAAAGCCTAAATATGCAGGGTTTGTGCGTTAAATATGTGTCAATGAAACAAAACACAACTCCAGGTATGTTTGTGATGAGGAAACATTATAACAGATCAGAAAATACATAATATAAGTATTAATATGTGACATTAGAAGAAAATTAGGTCATTTCAATTCAATTTGTCAGATATATAAACATTTTAACTGGTGGTTTATGTCAGTGGTTCCCAACGTGAGGGGCCTAAACTGGACTTTGGTTTGAACCGAATACCCTCTGGTTGGTGGTCTAGCATTTCCCACTTTCCATATTCATTCAGCAGATTATATTAAGGTAACAGTTAAGTTGCTGACCAAACTTTTAACTCCTGTTGAACTATTTAGTGTTATCAGCAGAGACAGATGAAGTGGTCTGCTAAGTAAGCACGAGCCTAGGGACCCACAGATCTCTGAGCAGTTAGAGCCCATTAACTACAAACGTTCTTCCTCTGACCATCCACACAACCTACCATTAACTAGAGATGGATGTGTACCTTCTGGGCAGCAACAGTTGGCAGACTGAACTTAGAGCCAGGGTCAAGTCTGAGCTGTGTAACATTAACTAAACTGTATGGGGTAATTTAGATATAGCAGGAGCTTTCTTATGTTTTTCTCTGCTAAAACAAACCAGTTTTAAGGATTTGCTGTAATTTAAACCAGATTAAAATCCTTGTTTAGTTCTCGTTTATTTCTGTTGATTGCTTTGTTTTTGTCCACCTGAAATTGGGCTGTATACAAAAATAAATGAACTTCCAGAGGTGCAAATCGACGCAGTCAATTCATGTCTTGGTGATGTGGCATCTTCAGTCTTTTATGCAATTCTCCTGGACAAGTTTAAAATGTGAACTTTGAGCAGAATCATATTTAAAAATAAATCACAAATCTAACTGCAGTGGTAATGCTTGTCAGAATAATCACAATTGGATACTTTTAACAAATCATACCACCCTAATTCTGTCTGAGTCATATTGGTGTATTTCAGTGTTAAAGGTGCATTGTGTAACTTTTCTTTGGCCACCTGCTTATCCCCATGGGTATATTACTGTTTTTCCTTGATTATTCCACAGTATTGAAATTAACTTGGTAATTAGGTTGGGCTAAAGGTCAGATCTGTAAAGGAGCAAGTCTGCACATGATAAGCTATTTTTCAGCTATAAAACGCCTCCAATTGAACAGATGTAAGGGAGATATGTTTAATGCCCTAGTGTGGAACATTCAAGGGAAGGGAATAACATCTCTATGAAGATGAGCAAGTAGTGGACCCTTCACCTTAGAAGTTAAATAGTGCATCTTTAAGCCCCAGTGCGTGGCAGTCTGGGCGTGTATTTTGAGTGGGTTTCTTGCAGACTGCCTGTTACACCAACTATAGTGTGTATTTGAAAAGTATCTAAAGCAGTGTGGTTTCACATGAGTTCCCACGGTAACACACATCTAATGACCTTTAAACTGCTCCAGATCACTGCAGTGTTTGGGCACAAATAGACTTCAGATACTTATTTCGTCAGACCCGCACCTCAGCCATGCCCGCATAGCTCTGATGTGGTCATTTGACAGCAGAATATTATATTTTGTTCAGCTCTCATGTGTAAAGCCAGTGCTCTATTTTGGCACATTTTTTACAGTGAATGCAAAGTTGAGCTTGCTACTCCCAGACGCTGCTTAGATCACTGCACCACTGCTCCTCCACTCCTACAATTTCTCATCATTTTCTATAGATTTTATACATACAGTAGTTTTATAACCCTTTTGTGTAGACATTACTATGTGTATTACTTTCAATAACACATAAAACGATATGGACCATGTCAAACGTAGATTGTTTTTGTTTTTTGGGGGTGTGGGTTTTTCACTAATGTCCTCAAAAAGCAACAGACTGGAACCAAAGCTTTATTGTATTTGTAGCATATTCGACTTTCAGGCCATTGTACCTTACCCCAGGTCCAAACAGCTTTTGAAACTAAAGCGATCGTATTTTTAGTCCTGGAGCAACACAACAATAAGAAAGTAGGTTTAGGAGAAGCATTCTGCAAACTGGAGGTGCACAATGAAACTTGCACTATGAAACTTAGTAGAGCGTGGTAGAGCGTCCGCCACCTTCTTGTCTCCAGGGAGTAGTTAATGCTTTTTCACAGTACATTAATCTTTTATATATAACATATTTAATTAATTACAAGTGTTTTTATAAATAAGCGTTCTTACTGTGATTGCCTCTCCACTGATCTGACCTGTAACTTGACCTAGTGGCGTCACCTGTCTCAAAGAAGATAGGTATGTTTAATGTCATACTGTGAAACATTCAAGGCAAAACAAAAACATCTCCTTTGTTGTTGTTGAAGTAGGCTAGTCAGTTTAAGAAATTCTACCCCCCACTGTGAAACGTCGTGGGGTGTGCTTGCTTCCACCGCCCTCTCCTAAAATCCAGTTACTGTGAAAATCTGCCTCTCCCATGACGCCCCTGGAGCCTGCAGTGGAAACTCTTATCTGAGGTGTCCCAAAATAACTTTTTTGAAACAGAAAGAAGGAGGACCATGGGCCATGACCAGAGCTCTACTGCCAGATCTCACCAATATCACAAGTAAACGCCTTTAACCAATGCAAGCCTCATCTGCTGTTTACTGCATCTTAAATTCAAGTGTATTATACGACATACATTGACTGTTAAACATTTAGAGTTTTATTTGATGGCTGCAACTAAACCGATCTTAAGCATATTGATTTTCACCGATGATTAATAATGTCTCTAATAATAATGTCTTGATTAATACAGATAAACCTTGTATAAAGTTGGGCAGTATAACTAAATATCAGTAATATTGAAATGGTTGTTTTCAAGGTAATGGCAAATTTCAGTTCTGAGTATTCTGTCTGCAACAATTATTTTTCAAAATTAAAAAGTTTTTTTTTTTTTTATTATTGTTCAAACAGGATTTTAATAGGATTTCTTTTGTAGGTAAATCATTATTTGCTTAAAACAACTGAGATATTATTTTTTGTCATTATCTCCCATGCAGCTTAAAATGTCTTACTCACTCACAGTGAGGACAATAAGTGATGTTGCACCATTTCATGCTGTGGTAGTTAAAAGCTGAAGAGGCCAAAGGCTAAAGTTATCAATACAGTCCCTCTCCTCCCTGAGCCTCACATTAACTAGCTTATTAGCACTATTGATGCTCTGATGTTGGTCTGGTTATGGACAAATTGCTTTGTCTATAAAAGCGTAATTGAGGTCCTGAGGTCTAAGAAAGAATGTTTTCAGCTTTAATGATTACACAGCTCTGTGCCTTCCATTATTTTGAGGATTTCGATCATGTATGGAGTTTTATTGACCGTGCTCTGTGTACGTGATTGAATAGCTGTGTGCTCGCTCCATTGTTTAAAGCCTTAGAGCTTTCATATCGAGTCATTTAAG